TACTAGTATATATTAGTAATTTTTATCTGCAGGTTCTAATCTATACTTTAGAAAACGGAATGTGTAATCTATTGCTAACCCAGTCTAAAAAAACGGTTGAGGAGCAAAGAGAAGAAACAAAAAGGAAAGTTAACCTTAGAAATTAAAGATCATTAATTCAACTTCAATTCTAAGTTTGGATCAACTTTCATTTACCTATGTAGACTTACTACATGAATAGGTTTAATACTCAGTCTAAAATTCTTAAGTAAGAACATGTTCTATTTGCCTATATTTACATGAATCTCACCTATATTCAATGTATTTACCTTTTTTTACCTTTAATTCTTGAAACTGTAATCATTGATAAAACATGAAAAATACAAAACATGAAACTACTTCAGATCAGAAACACAGTAAGGTCTCACATTTCCTAATAAACAAAGTTTTTTGATCATATAAGTCTTTTCTTTTTCAAACATTTTCTCTTACTGTTGCTCACTTTTCAGTTTCACCTTACTTTTATGTTTTCTTCAGAGATTTTACTTTCTAGGACTCTTCTAAATCACTTAGCATACAAAATTCAAATCTCCTCCACACTCTTCCTGGAACTTAGCAACCCCTCTGAAAGTGGTCATTTAATACTCTCTGCCTGATAACCACCTAGATCTTTGTGGAACATGCTGCATACCTTTATATTCTCCCTAGGATATGAATATAATTTAGATCTGAAATCCTTGGTAGGGTTTATGTTAAGCAATTAATTCAGTTTTATTCAACACATTTTATGTAATCAAGCTTGACTTTTGTAGAAGTAATTGGAATCTGGTTTAGATTTTTTTCTCATGTTCCATTTATTTCTATAATCTTTCTAAAATTGGACCTTCTAGTTTATCTTAAAATGAAAATATATAAAATGCTCTTGAATGTTCCCTGAAATTCATGGGAAAAGATTGTAAAAATAATATTTTACACTACCACAATATCTAGAACAGTATTGTGTACAGCAAAGACTTCTGACTATAATAAGCTGACAACCAGTTTGGAGATGAACGTTATCCCAGGTCAGTCAGTGTATGTGGGGAAGGGTTCTCATTGCTACCAAATGCACTGGCAGCAAGTAACCCAAAACTAACCATCTGCAACTATTCAAGGCTATTGTAAAATGACACACAAATGCAACATTCTGAATTACATTTTAAGGTCTCATCTAGGATTGCAATCTATTAGTGGGTCCAAAATTAGAGTCCACACCAGCAAATGAAGGAAGAGTGAGAGGAGGAGGATAAATATTGTAGAAAATGTGAAAGTCTAGGGCCTCCCCTGGTGGTGCAGCGGTTGAGCACTGGCTGCGAAGCTGCCCGCAGCCTCTGCAGCGCAGGTTCGATCCCCGGCCTGCCAGTGAGGGTCCCACATGGCACCACAGACCTCTCCTGCCACCCACTGCTCCCCATAGCAGTGTATTTCGTCGGTCTGCCTGTTCTGTTCCCCACTCTGGTTCTGGTGAATTCTCTCACCCTCCCGTACTTCTGACTGTACCCAGTGCTTGTATAAACAAACAAACAAACAAACAAACAAATAAATAGAAAATGTAAGACTCTATCATCAAGTAGCAAGGGTATTACGTCTTGTTCTGTAGAACTTTGGTTCTTTTGGGTGAGAACAATGTAAAATGCATTTTAAGGGTAGGTTGGAGCATTAAACAAGTTAGAAAACACTGATCTAGGACAAAAACAGATGTGGGAAAGGATAAGTATGGAACTGTTTTAATTACTAAATTAAGATTTGGGAGATGAGCAAGACTTATAGTTTCTGTTGACCAAGAGACAGTTTTAGAACCTGGGGACATCTGTAAAACCTATGCATCACTTCATGTGAGCTATGAAGAGGTACCTTCTCCTCTTATGGTAAGCTTACTAAAGCAATGCCCAAGAAAGCTCATAGCTGCCCCCTCTAATGTTCTTATCCCTTCAAATTTCCAAAGGTGGAAGGAAGTCAACCTTTACTTTCTCCTAACTCTTATCACCATTCAATGGACTTAAAACACAACATTTCCTATGAGATAATTGTCTTTGAACAGCTACTCCTAGAAAACATTAACTGTATTCCATAACACAATTTTGAGTCTCAAATAAAGACTTGGTATTCAGGAAAGCAACTTAGAAGGAAAATATTCACTCTATTCCACCAAAATTGATCCATGTAAAAAGAATAAACACCAAAATGAGCACAGACTTTTTTAAAGGTCTATGTTGTTTAAAAGACTCAAAGTACTGGGCCTCCCCGGTGGCGCAGCGGTTGAGCGTTGGGTTGCGAAGCTGCCCGCGGCCTCTGCAGCGCCAGTTCAAACCCCGGCTGCTCCTCGGCCACCGGAGGAGGGTCCCGCATGGCGCGCAGACCTCTCCTGCCGCACACTTCTCCCCTCAGCAGTGTACTTCGGTCCCTCTGCCTGCTCTGCTCCCCGCTCTGGCTCTGGTGAATTCTCTCACCCTCCCGCGCTTCTGACTGTACCCAGTGCTTGTATAAATAAATAAAAATAAATCTTTTAAAAAAAAAAAAAAATAAAAAAAAAAAAAAAATAAAAGACTCAAAGTACAACTTGGAGCCATTCAATATGGCAGCTAATAGATGAGTCACTTTGTCATTATTGGAATTGCTTACTTATTAGCCTGCTTTTCTTCATTGGATCTATGTTGAGTTTCTCTGAACACTCAGTTGTTTTAGCAAGGGTTTCCAATTATTTTTGAGTCATTTTAAAAAAAACCACTTTTGATGTGTAAAGGGTAGTTTCATAAATTACAACTAACATCTGTTTTAAGAGGTTCAAGGGGATGGGTATTTCTCAGGATGGAGTCACTGCTCATTACAACTAATGCAAATTCAGGTTAACAGGCCCAATGGTTTTATAGTCTTTTTTTCTCTAATATAAATCCACACATGATTGGAGAGACAGAGGAGGACAAAAAGTGCAGCTATAAAGAGAATTTCTCTAGTTGCAGGGCAAAAGGTTCCTTTAATCTCCGGTCATATAGCTTTAATGTTTTGCCTGGCTCACAACCTTCTTTTGAGACATCAACTCTTGGCATAATCACTTGCTAGTTTCATAATTTAATCCCACACTGTTGGAAAATGGAGTGTCAGTCTTTGACTATGAATAATTCCTCATTAAACACAAATTTCAAAAACATGAATCTTTGATAAACTGCCACCACAGAGCTGTTTTGTGTACAAGTACAAAAGAATGCACTAAGACAAATTACAGGGTTCTGAGCCTTATTCCTAGAGGCAAAAAGACATTTAGTTCAATACTAATGACATGCGTTTTAACGAAAGAAGAGTTAAAAGAACACTTTTATTTGTCCATTCTGATCAGACATCACTAAAATTCAATTTTGATTATAGTAGAAGACAAAGCTGGACACTCCTAACCACTCTAGATTAAAGATGCCTCTCACTTTCTTCTCTCTCCTGGGCCATTACAACAAACCTAGAGCAGAACTACACCCACCTTCAGGCTAGAAGAAACAACATAATAGCTTATTGATCTCTGGTGTAGACCCAAACCCACAAGTCATCTGGCAAGTAGGGATCAAGCCTCTAGAAGCGACTAACAATCAAAAGTCACCCACTGGGTTTTCTGGTCACACACAAGTACATCCCTGGTAATTACCACATCAAATTTGAACCAGCCCCCACCACACACCCCTCAGCCAACAAACAAACAAGCAAAAAATATGGTACAGCATTAATCATGTCAGGAAGCAATGCATTCTGAATCACACCAAAAAACCACTTCTTGGCTGTCAGTAAATATCAGTTTCAGCTAACTAAATTCTTCACTTAGTGTAACCTCTCAGGTTTTCAAAATTACCATCAAGTTCAATTCCACAGGTAAATGTTTACAAAAGAGATAATACCAGTTCATGAATTACATTTTGAATGAACTCCAGCAGAAGTAGTGTTTGTGGCAAATGACTTCCACTTTTGTTAAGTTAAACCTCCCAAAGAATGCGAACTACTAGTTCTTTTCCTCTAAAGAAATCAAAACACCACTCCAAAAAGAAAGGTTACATGTGTTCCCTGAAAAGCCCTATTTCAACGTGCTTAACTGACAAACTAAGAACTGGACGCCAGAAGTGGAACTCAAATCTCTCAAGCAATGAACGTCCGTTCCAATCCATTCATGGAGCTCCTGTGCTGCCCACAGTGCAAAGCTCAGCCTCGACACAAAGTCTTCAGCCTCCTCCCCACCTCAAAGGAATACACTCTGTACACAATGCAACCCAGAGATGGAATAAAGCCACAGCCTCCACATTAGCGGACAATGACGGATGAAATGACAAACGAACTAGGAGTCGGGCAGACAAAGTACGTCCTGGGAGGGAGACACCGAGGTGGGGCTGGAAACTATTTTCTGGCCTTCTCCCGCCCCGAGCTCCGGGGAGAGGTACAGGACCCTGCACGCCCGGGACCTACAGCGCTTCGGGGCCCCCGGGGCGCAGCGATGGGGAAAAGGCGGCGGACGCTTTCTCAGGAAGTGGGGGACTAGCGGGAATTTCGCCGGGGTGAGAACTTCTCGACCCCGGAAGGGTCGGGGTGGCTAGAGCGTCACAGCAGCGGCGGGGGCGACCCCCCCTTTCCCACCCAGTCGCCCCCCTTTGTGAGTGTGGGCTGTGGGTTGTGCGAGGGGCTCGGGGTCCCCGAGAAGCGGCCTCGGGAGCCCCCAGTCCAGGTAGGGAAGTCCGGCCGCCACCCCTTCCCTTCGCTCCCCCGGGCCCCTCAGTCCCGGCCCAGCCCCCCTCCAGCACCCCGAGTCTGGGGGTGGGGGTGGGCGAGGGGACCCGAGCATCTCCGCGAGGGGACACCCCCTCCGCCGCATCCACCCCTCGCCGGGTCTTTGTCCCGCCAGCGGCCGGGGTCTCCCCCGGGTCCTCCCCGGGCACCCCAGTCCTGGAGGCCCCGGGGCCCGGGGTCGCCCCAGCTTTGTTTGGTCAACGGGGCGCGGGGACGAGGACACTTACCGTACACTCCGGCGAAAAACAGCAAGACCAGCGCAGACCTCCACCGCGGGGACTCTTTTGTGCTCCAGCGACGGGCCATAACCACAGCAGATGGAGGGAGCGAGGCGGAGACGGAGCCGGCGGAGGAGGAGCTGGGGCAGACGCCGCGGCCGCCGAGCCCCCGGCTGCTCCCTGCGCGCTCCGCGGCGGCGGGCGGGGGAGGGGAGGGGCCGCCGTCGCCACCGCCCGCGCGCGCTCCCACCGCCCGCCCTCGGGCCCTCCCTCGGCCGCGCTCCCGCTCCACCCCCGGCGCGGCGAGAGCCCCGCGCCAGGCAGCCCTCCGGGGGCAGCGGCGGAGAACGCGCGCGGGCGCGAGGCGCGGGGGCGACGGCGGCGCGACCCCGGGCGCGCGGCGCACAGGCTGGCGGGCGCCGCCTCCCGCCAGACAGAGCGCGAGCGGGCGCCCGCGCGCATCCGTGCGCTCGGCAATCCCCAGGCCCGCCTGCGCGGCCGCGGACTTTCCCCGTCTCGGGCCGGTTTCCTGGCGACCGCAGCCGGAGCAGCGAGGCAGAGCCAATCGATGAGCGAGCGCGCGAGCGGCGCCGCTGGGCTCCCGCGGGCTGGGGAGACCCGGGCGCTGCGGAGCGGCGCCGCGGTCGGGGGTCTCTGTGCCGCCCCGCGGCGGGTGTGAGGGCGACCCGGGAGGCCGGAGGTGGCTGCGGGCACGGGGTGGGGGGCGTGAAGGGTTGAGTGGCCGGAGGCTGGGAACTTGGAAGTTCTTCGCCCTACCCCGCCTTGCGTCCGCTTCGCACCGGCGCGGGGCGGGCGGCGGGAGGGTCAGTGTGGCGGCCCCGGCTCGGGGACGCCTGCCGGGCGCTGGGGCTGATGATGCTCACGCGCGAGGTGTCCGGCGTGAACCCCGCGACCTTCCAGAGTGGCCGGCGAGCCCCGAGGCAGCTGGACTGCGAGCGGGGGTGGGCTTGGGGCTGGGCGGGGCTGCTCGGCTGGGGCGGACCCCGGGGATGGGGAAGTTGAGGGGGAGTCCCTCGCACTGTCTAATTTTCCTGAACTACTGCCGCTGCACCCCAAGTGTGATCCCTCCTCCACTGAGATCGTAGTAGCACTTTATTTATTTTTTTTTTTTTTAAAATTATGCATACAAGAGCTGGGGTGCAGGCCAGAGATGCGGGGTGGGGGCTCGGTGAGAGGGTTCACCAGAGACAGAGTGGGGAGCAGAACAGGCAGATTGGCTGAAATACACTGCTGGGGGTTGGGGGGGTCGGGGCAAGACTGGGGAGGTCTGCTGCGCCATGTGGGTATCTCCCTGGCAGGCCTGGGATTGAACTGCAGAGGCTGCAGATAGCTGCATAGTGCTGTGCTTAACCCCTTGCGCCACCAGGGAGGCCCAGGTCTTTGTAGCGCTTTCTAAATACTTTTGTAGTGACATTGACACATCAGACCTTCCGCCTTGTGTTTTCAAAGTGTTTGTCTGCGGGTCTTATCTCCCTTACTAGATTTATCTCTGGCCTTTACACGCACTCTCCTGGCTATTCATTGAAGACCAACAGTGCACTATATACTGTCTTACTGATACAGATTATCTCTTTTTAATCGCTAACAACCTTTTGAGATAAATATTATTACCCACATTTTATAGATAGGAAAATAAGACTCAGAGAGGTTCAATTACCTAAAACGATATTGCAAGTAAATGGTTGGAAACAATTTTTCCTATTCCAAATTCAAGACTTCCCTATACTACAGCATATGTTACACAAAAGCTTAGCGTGCAGTAGGTAACTTAAATTTTATGACATACTTTTTTGAAGGTACCTTTAGTTTTCCCTCTGTCCCCTACAGATTTTGTCTCCTTTAACATTTTTTCCAGGAAATGGCAATCCAAAAGATAAAAACGTATTAACAAAATTTGCAAAATTCAATCAATAATGTTGGATGATCTGACCAAAAACCCCACCAAACTCCGATAATGTTTTCACTCTCAGTGGAGGAAAAGAAGCAGTTTCAGTGTTCTTTACACACAAGCGCACGCGCGCGCGCACACACACACACCTGCAATAGTTTATCCTCATTTTAGGATTCTAGACTCCACTTGTTTGTTTCTTGAGATCTCTTTCTGTAAATTGTGCTCCATGATGACTGTGTTTAGGCCAGGTCACAGCAAAATGAAAAGAGACTAAATTGCATTTACCCCTCTGCAGACAAGACACCCAGTGTGATCCATCATTACTGTCTCCTCACTGATGCTATTCACACCCTTCCCACTGGTCTTCTCAGAAGTGCCAGATTCTCGAACTTTTCTGGTCTTAGGGTCCCTTTCCAAAACCCTAAAATTTAGTGCCGTCTCCTAAAAGCTTTTGTTTATGTGAGCCATATCTATTAATACTTAACGTTCAGAAATAAAACAAAAATGTTAAATATTTGTAAATAATTTTAAATAGAAAAATGCATTGCAAGTTAACTGTATTTTCCAAAACAAACAAAAAAAAAATGTAGTGAGAAGAATGTATTGTTTCCATCTTTGTAAATCTCCTTAATATGTGACTTAATAGAAGACAGCTGGATTCTCATATCTGCTTCTGCATCCAATCTGTTGCAATCTGTTGTTTTGCTTGAAGTATATCAAGAAAATTAAGACACACACACACACACACACACACATATAAAATTGGCAAAAGAACGACCTCCTATACTTCCCCAGAGCCATCAGATAAAACTTAGAGAACTGTTGATGATGTTGTCTGTCTTAATGCCTTCAAACGTAAGTATTTTGTTTCTCCTTGCAAAGAAGCTAATAAATATTCATTGTAAGGTATTAGCAGCTGAGCGCTTCAATGTTCACCAACCAAGGATATTTATGTTTCATGAGGGAACATTTTTATTGATACAAAATCTAATTCTAATAGAATATCAGACATTGGTAAGCAACACAGCACAGAATAGGTATTCAATATCACCTTTTTTCTTACCTAATCTATCTAGCTGGCTACCTAGATGTCTACTTCTAGCCTTGTATATCAAATAACTCGTATATGAGAAAATGCTTAGAAATCTATAAAAGCTATATAAAGTGGTCAGTATTGGTAGCAGTTCGATTGCAGTTGTCCTGTTGATTTAACTTGGCCAGCATTCTGTACCCTGCAATATATAAAGCATGCCCTTGAGACTCACAGGGTTCTTGATTTGTGCACCTTTGTGGAAAGATAGGTTTCGAGGAGTCTCCTTTTTTTTTTTTTTTTAAAGATTTATTTATTTATGCATACAAGAGCTGGGCCAGAGATGCGGGGGCTGAGTGGATTCACCAGAAACAGAGTGGGGAGCAGAACAGGCAGACTGACTGAAATACACTGCTGAGGGGAGCAGCAGGCGAGACAGAAGAGGTCTGCCTTGCCATGTGGGTTTCTCCCTGGCCCGCTGGGGATTGAACTCGGGCTGCAGAGACTGCGGATTGCTTCATAGTGTGGTGCTTAACCCCTTGCGCCACCAGGGAGGCCCTCAAGGAGTCTCTTAAGCCTTCTGAAATTGTATGAAAATTTTGTGCTCATACACTTTTATAAGTAGAAGTTTCATTACTTTCAGCAAATTCTTCAAGGGCTTTGTCACTCTTTTCCCAAAAGTTTAAGAACAATAGGAGTTACTTTTGCACTCTTCTTTCAAATGGTTCTCAAACTCCTCAAGTACATGTATTTGGAAGGAAGAAGTACGTGGACTTTTTCTTTTTCCCATAACATATTCTAAAAAGAGTCACACTCTATGGAAACATCCTCTTAAATAATCCTTTTGTTTTGATTTTAAACTTCTTTTTCCTCCTGCTTTGGTTATCATCACATAAAGGGTTGCATATTTAGGTTTGTTGCTAATATAAATTCATTGCTTTCTATTGTAGATGCTGTTCCCGTTAGTAGCATTTGAGAATTTCATCAATACTGTGAAGTTAGACTGGGAATTTCAGTCTACCATTCTAAGCATCATCTTTTATTGGGAAGAAAATTGATAACAGTGGCTTTTCTACTTGGCATTCAACCTGGCAAAGCTAAATCTCTAACTCCCCATCAAAGGAATATCATTTAAAAAAGAAAAATAAATTTGATAAATATATACAGATAATTAAAGGGGGGAAATAAAATTTTAATTGAAGTTAAATAAATATCTTTATATGAGCAAATTGTAATTTCCACTGGAGTTGAATAATATAGGGTAACAAATGAGATCCATCTATCAAGGCAACCTCCATGAACTGTTCCCTGGCACATGTACTGTGGTTATTATTTATTATGCTCTGTGTTTTGACAGCATACCTAATGTTGTACCAACTAGTCAAAAACACAATTCTGGCTCTAAATAAAACAGCCAATGAACACGTTTAATTTTTGCTCTCATAAGCTCATTTCTTAATTGCAAAGCCCAACAGTACAGCATGTATGAAATTATGGTGTTAGTAGTATCTATCTCTTGTAGACATATGAAACAATTGCCCCTACCAAGAAAAAAGGAAAAGGGGGAATTAGCTATAGTCATCAGTATTTATAAAGAGATACTCTGAGCATTCTGTTGTTTCATTAAGCAACAGGTTTTAAAATGCACATAACTGTTTTTTAATTTCTTTCCATGACTGAGAATATAGACTGGAAATGCTCGTAGCATGGAATCTTATCCCATGTGAGTCCACTAGAAATGAAATTGACAACTGTAATGGCAAACTAGTAAGGATATACTGCTAATTCCAGACATATATAACTTATTTGTTAATTGCCCATGTCTACAATGAATTTGAAGTTCCCTAGGGTATTTGGTAATATGATATACTCTAGCTATTGAAAGTATAGGTCTTAAGAGTTTAATAGAGCTGTGTTTGACTAAGTAGTTAACCTTGGTCAAGTAACCTAATCTTTGTACCTCATATTCCTACCTACAAAGTAGGGTGAAAGTGGGCCTCGTTAAATTATCTACATGCCTTGTAGATAACAAAAGGTCAGCACTTAAATTCAGACAGTTTAATTCCAAGGCATGCATTCTTGCTCATTCTACCATGTTATACGAAAAGTGCTTAATTCAATGTCAGGTACTTAGTAGGTACTCAATAAATGGCAGCTGCTGTTATTAAAACACATTAATGACATAAGCAAAACAGGCCTTATTCTCTAAGATTAAAAATAATGATTTTCTGTCTTGTTTCCTAGAAGTAACTGATACTTACTTGAATTCAGTTTAAATTAAACTTAAGCATTCTTTGGATTACTTTTTAAAAAGAAAAGTCATATTTTGAAGTTCTCGTCAATTTCATGAAACATCAGGTGAGTTAGATGAGCATAAGTCTGCCTTTTTGCTGCTTGTACTAATTTTTTTCAGTGACCTTGTAGTCATTATTTATAGTTGCCTTTGAAGATCAGAGAACCTTAGGTTGCTTATTGCCCTAATCTTCAGAAAAG